AAGCAAAGTGATGCTCAAAGAGTTACAAGAAAGAGTTTGACCATATATGGAGTAAGAAATGCCTGAGGTTCAAGTTGGATTCTGAAAAAGAGGAGGCGATCAAGCTCATATCACAAATCCATGTTGGCTACTGGAAGGCACTAAAGAATTTCAGAAGAAGACTAGTTTATGCTTTATAGAGTAGAGCAAAGCCTTTCACTGTGTGGATCAAGAGAAGCTATCCTGGAAGAAATTGATGCTTCTTAGCACTTAATTGTCCTGCTGTGTAACCTATGTTGTAGACAAGAAGCTGCTGTTTGGAAAGAATATGGAGAAACAGGATGGATTTCCTATAGGAAGAAGTATGTTTTATCTTACTATTTCTTTAGTCTTTATGCAGAACATACCATATCTTCAGAGGAAGGAGTGAAAATTGGCAGGAGATAGATCAATAATAGAAGATATGCAAGTAATAGCATGTTATTAGCAGAAAGCAACAATGAATTAAAATGACTCCCGATGTGAAAGAAGAAAGTGCAAATGCAGGACTGCAGCTGAACATGAAGAAAACAAACATCAGGACTACAGAATAGTTACCCAATTCTCATGTCAGCAATGAAGAATTTGAAATCGTGAAAGATTTTGCATCTCATGGCTCAGTCATTAAGGCACCTGGGAACTGAAATTTAAAGAAGATTCAGACTTCAGAGGGCAGCAATAAAGTAACTGGAAAAGGTAATCAAGTTTAAGGATGCTTAACTGGAGACCAAAGCTAAAATAATCCACATTAGTTTATTCTCAATCACTGCACATGGATGAAAAGCTGGACAATAAAGAATGCTGACTGGAAGAAAATGTGTTTGAAACATGGTGCTGGAGGAGAGTTTTGCAAATATCCTGGACCAACCGAAGGGTGAACAAATAGGTGCTAGATCAAATTAATCCAGAACTTCTCTGGAAGCAAAAACTGATGCTGTTGTGTTTTGGCCGCAAGACAGGACTCATTGAAGAAGACAATAATGGAGTCAAGGTGGTGTAGTGGTTAAGAGCATGGGACTGGGACTCAGACGATCTGGGTTCGAGTCCCCACTCAGCCATGGAGCCAACTGGGTGACTTTGGGCCAGTCACAGACTCTCAGCCCAACCTACCTCACAGGGTTGTTGTTGTGGGAATGAGATGGAGGAGGAGAATGATGTAAGCTGCCTCAAGCCCTCTGTGGGAAAAAGGCGGGATATAAATCGAAAAATAAAAATAAATAAATAATTCTAGGAAAATTTGAAGGTGGAAGAAGAGGAAAACCAAATATTAGATGGATTGACTTCACAAAGGAGGACACTTCTAAACAACCTTTAGTTTAGAAGAGCTGAGCAGGATTGTGAAAGTCAGGGCATTTTGGAGAGCATTTATTTACAGGGTTGGCATAAGTCAGAGATGACTTGATAGCACATAACATCAAGCAGACTGCCTACTTATCAAATATAGCTAGCAGAGAAATGCACATCTTATCCATACATTATTCTAACAACTTTTTGTTATTACATTGCAATTATTATTTCACCTTACAGGTGTTATTAGTATTATTACATAGCATTTATACCACACTTTTTCTCCCCTTGCAAGGGACCCAAGTGGCTTACAAGGTTTGCCTCCTCTCTATCTTACCCGCAGAACAAGGATTCTGTGAGGCAGGTTAGACTGAAATTCTGTGATTGGCCCAAAGTTATCCAGTGAACTTTATAGCGGAATGGGACTGGAATCCAGGTGCCTTGGGTTCCAAGTCCAACACTGGAACCACTGTGCTGCCTCAGTTTTCAAGGTGATTCTACAGAAAAGGTTTCTAGTACTACCAGTTAGCAGACACTGTGGATCTTTTCTGGGTTTCTCTGATTAACAGATTTGTAGCAGCAAGGAAAAAGAAGGAAGAAGCAGTGCAAAACCATGACAGGATTCAGAGTGGCAAACCAAGGTACTTGGAGTCCTTGTCAATTTCAGTACATGAACCAGGGCAATGGTGAGATAAGAGTCTCACTGGAGAGAACCCCAGGTGTATAGACTTAAGTGTCATTTTACCTGCATTTCTAGAATAAAGATTACAAAACATTTTTAAGAGTTAGGAACAGAAATGTGATAATTGGGTTCTTTATTGGTTTTTTCTGTATGTGCTTATACATTTTTATACCCTAAAAAGAAAAAAAATGCTATTAAAAGTTGTTAAATATTAAACATGCTTCCATGGCGCTAATGGAGCAAATTCTCAGCTCACACGCTCCCCCTCCCCCCCGTTCTTTCCTTTGTGTGCTCTGCTTCATTCCTTCCTGGCATACACTTGACATGTGAATACCAAGACTCAGACTGTGAGGATCAGGCAGGCAGATTTAGACCCCCTTAAACTCCATCTTCATGGCCAAAGTGCTGAAACTGAGTGAAATTTTGTTTCATAAAGTAGTTACACATGAACTATGGAATTGGAGCTTGAACAGTTTTCTTTGAAATATATATTCAGAAGTATAATTCTCCTTGGTGTCCTCATGTTTCATTCATCACCCAAATGTAGCTGAGGATTATCAAGCTGTTAATAGCTCCAGCTAATTAACTGTTGAAAACCAAGGGTGTTGATTTGCAAATAGCATTTCTTGTTGATTTTCCCAATCTACTTTTGTCAGATCAAGTTTTAATAAATTCTTTAAAGTAAGCCTACATAGACCTACCTTCCTGAGATTACCCCGTTTGAGCAAGATGTGGTATACTTACAAGGAAACATGCTTAAGCTTGTGCTGTAAACCAACGATGGTTAATGCGATTCACTTATACATACTTTAGGATAATTCTTAGTAGTCATTAAGTGACTAATAAGATAAATAATGAGCATCTTTGCATTATACAAAATCTTATAGATTTTGCTTTAGTGACTAGGATAAAACACACAATAGCCAGCTTCTCACGGCAACCAATTGTGGATATCTAAGCACAGTGGGTCGTCGTATCATCTGAATTTAAACTTCTTCCCACAAGAAAGCATCTCTGGGACAAAAGGTCACCCTGACACCCTATGTGCTATTCTACAGGTTGATCAACCATGCCATCCAAACCTGGCAGTACAATTTCATAGTGGGTTGCACAGGTTGGCTAGTGAACTCCCTAGCAAACCATCAGAAAACCCTACCACTCATCTTGTTCATGATGTTACCAAAGACAGCCTCTCAACTAATGCCATTACATTTGGTGACCATTTTGGAGTGACCATCACTGGTTTGCCACCCTTTCTGCTTTTAAAGAATAATCCAGAAAATTGCATAATCGTGTTCATAATTTCCCTCTACTTCTTTCTATTTTTGATGGGTGTTTGCAGGTGTGAAGGGTACACTTCTGGTTGCACCCTATAAGTAGTCTAGCCTTGTCCACCACTTTGTAAGTTTCAGCTATCAAGCTAAAATGGAGCTTCAGTAACAGCTTGTTAAGAAGAGGCTGACAAGGTGAGATGGTATATAGGCTGCTTTGAGCACAGTTGCCAGCTAATTGTCAACTGGAAAAATAAAGGGAGAAAGCAGTGAAAGCATGTGTGCCAAATGGGGGTGGTGACAGTATCACCTTCTTAGCAATATAATGCTCTGTTAAACAGACAGTTCTCAGTGTCCTCTACCATTTTAACACTTCTGAGAGTTTACAGCTCCTGCAGAAAGGGGAGATATTAATGCCCTCCACATTTTCAGAGCATTCACTGCTGCAGATACTATGGATCCCTGACACGTCTTAAGAACAAACAAGCAAGAAAACCCTGAGGAGCCAAATGAATGGACTGAGTGAATGGTACCCCAGTGTGTGTGTATGTGTGTTTTGATGGAGGGGATACACACTGCTGGCCCTCAAGAATATCTGCACATTTCATTTGTTTGTTCAGATTAGGAAATAGATGCTATTGGAACAAATGGAGGAGAAATTTGCACACTTACAGTAATGGAAAAACCAGGTATGTTAATTTGCACTCCATTTACTTTCCAGCCACTAAATAGGTGTATAGTCAGTCTCCAATTATTTTCTAGCTCAGATTATTTTAATGTACATATAATTCCTCTCCATTTGCTTGACAGACATTATATTTGCATCTCATTCCTAGTGCAAGAAAATGTGCCTTTGTCAGGAACCCTCAGTATTCATAGCAGTAAGTGCCCCACAAAGGAAAGGAAAAATTAGCATCTTCCCTTTCTGGAACAGCTGGAGACCTGGAGAAGTGTTGAAAAGGTACTGAGAAGTCAGTTCATCACTCAAAAGTCATGGGTAAAAGGAAGATATTGTCACTGCCCAATTTTGGTGCAACTGCTTTTTCCACATTTCCTCTTTCACTTTTCACATGGCAGCTGGGCAATTGACCTGGTAACCACGTGCAAATTAGTCTGCACACCATGTCAATTTCCATGTACTTACCTACTGCACTTTGCTCTTCTTGACAGCTGAAACTTACAAGTCAGCTGACAAGACATGACACTTATATTGGTCAAGCCACGAGTATGCAGTTGCAATCCTGTGACAGAATGTCTTTTTTTTTTTTTAAGATGTGATGAACATGGTGACACAGTTTTCATTTTTCTTTGAAGCTCCTAAAATATTAAGGAATAATAGAAAATAAAAAAGTATAATGTTTGGAGTGGGGAAGATAAAAGAAAGGGACTGCCATGAAGGTCATTAGGTGGAAGACCAAGGGAAAAGAAAGGGGTAAAGGGGTGAGTTTAATTTTCTGTTGGATTTACCTCAGGTTGTTCCACCAGCAACCCATACCGTATGGTTGTTCACAGCTTCACATGTCATGCAGATGCAATCATTGACAGCACCAAAAGTACATTTTGTGTTGATCCTGTGAAATTCTGTGACAGTCTGAATGAGTTTGTATTTTCTAGTTATAAACACAAGTCACACATTTACTGGATATCCAATTCATCCTTTGCATTCTGTATATACATAATTTTGTCATAATTACAATCCAGATTCAAGTATGTTTTATTCTCCCCACCCCCTCTTTCTACAGACTGGCAGATTGCTACGCTTTCTATGCTGTTGGGTGGTGCTGCCATAATTCTTATAGCTTTCTTGGTTGGATTAATTTCTATCTGTGTGGGATCACGGAGGCGGTTCTACAGACCAGTTGCTGTCATGCTATTTGCAGCAGGTAAATAAACTGCTTCTCTGAAGTATATTTAATAACTTCAGCTTTATCTTCATGTAGAAAATAAATGAGAATTGTACACAGTAATGTAAAGGTAGCTAATTTTTATGTTGTCCATGACTGTATCACAAGTTGATGATCAGACGGAATAGTCAACCTTCGTGCACATGGACAATAAATTCTAGGGTGTTTTAGTCTCAACATAGAGTTTTCCATCAGGTTATTCACAGGTGATCGTATGCTTTCAATGGATGCTTATCTCCACCTGTCATGCATTCAGAGCATTATCATGCTACATGATGTAAAAATTATCATTTATTTCAGGGCTGAAAATTCAAAAGCATTGAGGGTTCATTTCTTACCTGTTTCCCCCCTTTTCTTGAAGCCCTTGGACTGCATAATGTTATAACTAAGTTCCTGTATATTTTAAAGGGTTTACCAAGTATAGGATTTACTATACAATCCTGATTGCTAATATGTGTGTGTCTCTGGGTGTGTAATATGATATTAAAGGGATTAAAAATGATGGGGTCCAGATGTATTCATGTTTAGAGCATACATATTGAAATCAAGCAGTGTTCCGTTTGTGATGACCCATGTGTCTACTTTAAATACTGATCCCACCCAATAGCAATCAACACGATCAAATTCTTCTATAGAGAATCATCCCAGCCTCCTGGCATGTATTTGCAGAGACTAGAAGATGGAGAGGAAGGCAGAGACAAGGCCAAGCCTCCTTGCAGCTCATTTTCTCTCTTTACAATGAGCTTTTCTGCACATGGCTGTTAATCGCCTCTCTCTACTTTTGGTTTCATCAGAGAACTGAGATCTGGGACTAAATTAAGTGCAATTTCTTTCCCTCTTTTCTGCTATATAGCTTCTAAGTGGTACTGTGGTATAGTAGAACAACCAAGCTACAGAAGAGGAAGAAACATTTTCTTCATCTTTTGCAAATGATACGACATTTTCCCTTCCCTAAGCAAAATGATCAAAAGTGCTGCTGAAGAGCAGGAGAAAAGTCGAGAGTCACGAAGTTGTCTAAATAGCCTGCATGCCTCCATAGGCAGGGAACGGCGAGTTCACGACAAATGTCTTGTATAGAAGAATTTAGCTTCAAGTATGAGTGAGATTGTGTATCCAAACAGAATTGTCAACTATTTGTCAACCAAGTCCAACTACAAGAGCAATAAACCCCAAGTTGTTGTTATAAGCTTGAAAGAGTAATGCACTTCCAGCAATCAGTGACTGTTTACACTGAGAGTACTGCAGTTGTGAAATACATTATGGACAAATTATAATTGTCTGAATTCCTGTTCTTTATAGGACTACAGAGGCTGTCCTTCAAATTTAACTACTTCTGATGGCATTATAGTTGTATTCATGTCTTTCCTTCCTTTCCCTTTTTGATAAGTTTAATGGTATTCTTTTCAAATTCACGATAGCAATATATTCTTTAAGTATTAGCTCTTAAAACCATACATGTGAAAATAAATAGGATTAAACTGAAAGGTTTTTATATCTTCCCTAGGCTTCAAGGAAGAATAAATTCTACTCTGTCAGGTTTGCTTTTTGTTATTAATTTCAACAGCCTTCACAATGTAAAGGCTTTATTTTATTTTTTTTCCAAGCATCAAAGGAAGGATTTTATGTGAAGAAATATTTTAAGAACCTGCATAGATAGATCAAGCTAACAGACACACTATAATGCAATGCATAATGGTCTCTGTGAAATCATCACTGTTTATGCATTCTACTGTTTTTCAGGCTGGCCAATAATAAATAGATTTTTTCTAAAGTTTTCCAAGCATAGCTTCCTTTCATTCTGTCAATCATATCTGAGCAGAAACTGAAATAGTAAGCGTGTCTGATAGTCCATAATGGGGAGAGTGACAGAACAATCTACTCTGCTGGATGGATTTAAAAAATCCATTAACAAGGTCCTGAAAAGTTAGGTCCTTAGTAGTTCCAGAACTGAAATAATTATAAGGGGAAGTATCCTACTGCCCCCTACTGTTTTCACCATCTGTGTTAACTGTTGCAGCTTAGCAGAGAAAGGTGTTTGGTTACATAAGTTGTTGGAAGAAATCTGTCACCTCATGAAGTTTCAAAGAATACAGCAAAATTAGTTTGTGACAGAGAATTTGAGCTTCGTACAGGTTTGCTGGCAGATCACAGAAAAATGCTTTATTTAAATGGATAGCTCATTTAAATCAAGTTTTTGGTGAGGGACTTTGTCAAAAGCCTTTTAGAAATCCGTTAAACCCTTCCTACCAGATTGCCCCTGTCCGTGTGCTAAAGCTTAAGAGCTTTCTGGTGCCTGGCTGTATGGTTCAAGATTGTCCAATTCTCTGAGCCTCAAAAACAATCCATAGGATGCTTTTGCATGGCTTTGCAATTGATTAGGGATGAAGACTTGGAAAAGAAAAGGAAAAAGAGAAATTGCTTGGAAGCTTACTGGGAAATGCAGGTGGTTCTTTAGTATATAAAAAAGTGAAGATAAAAGTAAAGCTGAAAGGAAATGTTTTCTGACACCACATAGGTTTTAGGGGGTTTGAAGACTCCTTGAGATTTCCATGAGATCAGGGTTGAGTGAAAAGAGTCACTGGTTAATGTTGGAAAGGCTCAGTCTTGATATGAAGGTGCACTTGCTTCAAAAGGGCAAGCAATTGGATAACCACACCCAGCAAGTTATATTTATATTTTTTTTCTATGACTTGGTTTGCATTCTAAAATGAGTTAAAGCAGGCAAGCTCCTCTCCCACTCCACATTATTCAGGAGCACCCCGATTATCCAGAAGGTAGTGGTGTTACTTGGCTGCCTGTTCAATGATTTGAGCATATTTTTAACTTATTTTTATTTGTGATGTGTGTTGCCAGTGTTATTTATACATTTATTGTATTTGTGTGCTGCCCCATAGTCTGAAGGCTTGTTATGGCAGAATAGCAGAATTATGGACAAATAATAATCTTACTTTACTGATGGCAAAACCTGCTCTCACCTACCTGGAAGTAAAAGACTTTGAACTCAGTGAAGCTTGTTTCTGAGGAAAAGGTCCACAAATCCAGGTATAAGAATCGTGAGAAAGTCTGCAATGGAAGCTATTAGTGCACAAACTGACTTCCTTGTATACCAGTCACATATGAAAGGAAGAAGACTCATTCTGTCAATACTGCTATCTTCACAAAAGTCACCTGAAGAAAGAGCTGCAATGCTTAGATTTTTGCTGCACAAAAGCACTTTCCCAAAGAGAACAGTTGATTATTTTTTTCCTGGAATTCATTATGAACATTATTCTGCTCTTACCTTTTTTTTTCTTTCTCAGGAATAGCAACTAATAGATTCAAATATTTCTGCTTTGAGATGTCTCAGTGTTGCAGTAGTATATTAGAGAAAATCAATTTGGCTGCCAATTGCCTTAAAACACATACAGTGATTAGCTCCTTTGAACATTCGTATTCCATGTGTTTGGATAAGGTAATGAACCAATACTTAAAAATAAACCATGGTATAAATGTGTGAGCATGAACAAACACTTGCAACAAATTAACACTTTCAAATTCAGTCAAAATAATAGCTCTGTAGCATAAGCATGTACGAATTTTCATTCTGTTTCCCTGTAGTTTGCTTCTAATAACATTCTGGGTGTTTTGTTCTGTTAAAACTCCAAAGAGAATAGCAACAACACAAGAGCCACAGAGAGTAGAAAGATTGCAGCTGGCCAGACAACACAGTCAATGATATTTTAATATAGACCTAGATGCACTGTAGCTTATTTGAGGGCATCTGGAAACTCTATGAAGATCTAATTGTTGACCAGCTGTAGTCCACAGGAGAAAGTCGTCAACCCTTTCACAATATTCTTCTCTGTTGACATGCTACATTTCAAACATGGATTTCCCATACAGGTTTAACTATACAATCAAACAATCCTTATAGATCTCCCAAAGTACAACAAAACAAAACGAAAAACTTAAACTACATGTAAACCTGCCAACTGGCTCCTATTGGTCATGGGTTCATTCAGATAGTTTACACTGTGTGGTTCTAAAATTATAAAGTTGCTTCACAGGAAAAGGTCAGACTGATCAAATAGTCAAAGAAATGTATAAAACAGAATGACTTGCAACATTTACTAAACAGAAATACATTTCTAGTTCTATCAGGACCTTCCGAAAGCGTACTCTGCACACAAACACAAGTGTGTGCTTGGTATCCGCCACAGCAACAAAGAAACTTCCACAAAACACTTTAAGAATTTGTAGACCCATAATGATCTTCTACAAAGATGGTGAAGATGGATTCTGTTGCTGGTACTACATGTTGGGTCTGTAGTCTGTAAAATCAGGAAAAATTCTCAGTAATTAAATCCCAGGGCAAAGGTCTCTCTTCTATGGAGTCCCTCCTACTACTGGCTGAACTGACTGAACATTTGGCATACTACAATTGATGACATAAAAGCAGCCTAATCAGGATTATATACATTCCTAGCCTTCCTAGGGTTGCCCACAAAAGATAATTAGCTTCATATAAATTATATTATGCTTCCAAATGCTTTAGAAGACTTGTAAGTTTCCAGTCTGAGGGCCCAGCCATCTGCCTTTTACCCATCCATTTCCCTTCCAGTCATTCTGCCATGTCTATCCTCCAAAGTTGTTCCCAGGCCTTTTGCCTTCACCCACCTCTGTCTCTGGATGGCCTTAGGCTCTGACACATTGTTGTAAAGACAGACATCTTCTGGAATTTGAACAGCATTCCTTTTCAGCAATGGTTAGATTTTCTTGACTTTCTGTACCTCAAAGCCCTTCGTACCTCTGTGACAGGCCATAATTCGACAGGTTGTAGAGCTGGTGGTGGTACATCCTCTTCCTGGAGGACCTCAGCAATGGCAGCTGATAATAGGAGTGAGTGGATTTCTTAGCTGAAGCTTTGTATAAGCGCAAAGCAGGGATTTTCCCTCCACTCCCGGTCGCTATATGCTAGCCGCTTGACTTTTTTCTTGCTTCGGTAGGCACAAGGAGGGTCTATTTTCTAAGTCCTAATTCATAACTCCAATGATGGTAATGTCAGGAGAACAGCATGTCTGAGCAGATGTTAGATGCTCCTTATCTGGAACCACTCTTGGGCCTGCTACATTACATTGTTTCCTATGCATCATATACAGCAATCTGAAAACCTTGCCTTATGGGCAGTTACATAGCCATGACAATGTACATTACTAGCAGCCATACCTTTAATTTGCTGATCGCTAATTAAATCAAAGCTCTTAACAATCTCAGTACGCACAACACAAAACAATATTTTATCATTATGAATAATTAGGAAGATTTTCTATGCTGTATAGAAGATAGGAATACAGGTTTGTCAGGAATGCCAGATATAAATTATGATTAGACATTGTTATATGTATTTGATTTACAGTTCCATAAGAATTTTGTTACAATCATTGTTAATTAATATTCCTTATTACAATGAACCATACAAGATGAAAGAGCTTTTCTTGGATTACATTTCCTCATTACCCCTTTTTCTTATCCCATTATGAAGTATTTACAGAAACTATTAGCTTATTCACCTCTTTTCTTCTGTTAGTGTCAAGAAAGTCTGATTTGTACAAAAAGAACAAAAAAATAAAAAGAATAATAGAGTGGGAGCAGAGTCTGCTGTTGATTCTTTAGAACTCTGAAACTGCATGCTGATACCCCAGATTATATTTATACATTTACCATATCTCCTGTGACTATATATGGCACATTAGAAGACTCTAACCTGGAAGCTACCAAAGAATAGACTAAATAAAGCATAGATTAAATATTCTTTGCATGAATCACACATTTTTCCAGGCACTCTGTGTATACTTTATTGAAATAAATGAAATAATATGCCACATACTCCTGCTAATCTTGTTATTCCAATAGGACATCCATTAGAGACTAAACTAAGGTTTAGAAATATGACAAGCTATACCACCTTGTAAATCATATCCATTTATATGAACGTTTGATAATTTTGGAATGGTTCTTCCATTACAACCTCACAGTGCACAAATAACTTTTTTAGGAAGGAAATGCTACCTCCCTTCTCAAAGTGGTGGTAACTGTTGTGGTTTTTATAGCTGTTTGTATCTTCTTCTCTCTTTATTTAAACTGTTTTAATGTTTTACCCCAATCCAGGTTGAAGGTACCTCCCAAATTTGCAGCCTTATACCTTCTATATCAAAGATCTCCAACCTTTTTGGGTCAGGGGGCATGTATGGAATTTTGTGAAAGTGGTCATTCTCCAGAATGAATACTATGGGTTTGTGCAGCTTATGCAAAAATAAATTGATGCAACTGCCAATTGGTAGATAATGACAGTGACAGAATATTATTTTCCTTGAAAGCAAACTTGTGGAGCTAAAAGAAAAGTAGCTTGTTCAAGAACCTACATATTGATTGATTTGGTTTATGCCTGATCTTTCTACCCCCTGGCCAAAAAAAAAAGTCTCTCAAGAAATGAGGCTTGGCAGAAATGAGGTTTCAGCTCCAAAAGACAAACCTACCCCCTGCGTTCCAAATAAAGATGGTGCGGAAGGGTCACTTGTACTATGACAGACTACCTGTTTGTTCTGTTTTGTTTTAAGAATTTACTTTATAAACCATATTAAGAAATAAAAAGGCACCAATTTGCAGACACACAGGTATCTCTGGAACATATGGAATATCTGTGTTCTAGGCATTTCAGATATATTTGCAAAATTCAGGCATTTTTTCAGGAAAATTAGTACCTTTCAGATGTGCAGAGGGTACATTTGACCAAAACGGAAAGCATTTCTTGATGCATTGGGACCATGAGGGCAGCGACATTTCTCCTAAGCAATGGCATGAGGATTGATCTCACTGGGAACTTTTCAGAAAGAAGGATGAGTCAGGCTGTGCCAGTTTTTATGAGTGACCCTTTCAACCCCCGGAGCAGTGGGCTTTCTTTTTTTGTCAAAAGGAAGAAATTCAGCCTCTGCTGCTTCATCTGTACTCTAAACCTTCTGCCTGAAAAAAATCCAAACATTTTGGCCAGTCTCCAAAGATTATTCTGACCATTTTCCCCTGTGATCCACTGCCTGTTGTGGATGAAAATGCCTGGGCTGAAGTTTGCATCACCTTAGTTTTATAGCTGTTTCATGGCATGCAGTATGGTTGTCCAATTATTTTTTAAAATTGTTAGCATTTTGTTATAGCATAATTTGTAGGCTTCCTTGGAAGTATTGAGCAAAAGTGAGGCAAATGTTTTAAATACATGAATAAGTAGCATGTTATTAAGCAGGACTGAAGGATTTTTTTTTAATGTCATGATTGCTCAAATATATGAATTCCCAGATAAGCCAGAATGGGTTATCTGTTATATATACAGAAAGTTCCCCTAAAAGTGACTTATCAATTATTTAACTTATTCAAAAATGGATGAAATCTCATATTTGACCTAATTCTGTTATGTTTTTTCCTTAGTGGTTCTTCAAGTGTGCAGTCTTGTCCTCTACCCAATCAAGTTCATCGAAACAGTCAATTTGAGAATATATCATGAGTTCAACTGGGGCTATGGCCTAGCTTGGGGTGCAACTATATTTTCATTTGGGGGTGCCATACTTTATTGCCTGAACCCTAAGAACTATGAAGACTATTATTAAAAGAAACCACTTTTAAAAAAAGGAAAGGAATAACAAAAGGATTGCTCTGTCTTTTCTAACTCAGTGTTTTTAGAACTTTTGTAGAGTGTCAAACAGTCTGGCTGTATTGGTTTATCAGCCTTTACCTTTTGGCTACAACTACTGCAAGTACCTTTTTAACATCGCATTAAAAGAATTGCAAAAATTACATCTGCTGATCGTAGGCAAGAGATACAGGATGCTGATACCTTTCCTTTGATAAGCAAAGATCAGCACCATTGGAGGACTCAGATGGCACTAGCCATCCTGAAAAAATTAGCTGGAATTAAAATGCGGCACCTGCATTTGCTGTAGCTTGCAAGGGAGTTGCTGGCACAAGGATCATGTAGAAACATCTTTGTATTACACATGATTCAAATGTTCTAGTGGGTCGCCAATACGTGCTAATGTGTTGTACTCTTGGGACCTTTGGGACTCTTACTGAAATAAAAATCTACGTTACTCGATGCTGAGAAAAGTGAAGATAAACAATGCACACATTCAACAGTTCCTTGAAAACACAACTCTGTCCATTTGGCAGTCGACATGTTTCAGCCAGCCGTGGTATTTCAGGAAGTCAAACCTTGGAATGCATTTTTCCAATTATATGGTTGGACACTGTGTCTCAGCTGGAACCCAAGTGCTAGAAACAACACAAGTAGAATGGCACTGGATCTGTTGGTTTCCTCAAGAGAGAAAAAGAATACATGTATGAGCTGCATTTGTCCCAAGTATATTTTGATTTCCAAACACTGCGGTAATGTTTTCATATGCAACATTTCCAAGTATTTTTATAGAAGACATTTATTGGTATTGCTATGAAGCAAAAAGTACACATGAGATCCCAAGCTTAATAATAGTGGGGTGCAATAGTGAAAGCTCCTAAGTGTATCTAAATGTTCAAGAGCCGTTGGGGTGGATTTGAAATATTTAAACGAATCCATTCTTTTAATGAATTATTTCTCATCTCACTTGATTTAAAGCTTGAGGTGCCAGCAATTCAGGGTGGGATGTTTCCATCGTTGCCGTGCCACTATCAAGTTAAAGCATGCTGATGAATCAGACAACAGGATGAACTTTAGACTGCTGAGATAGAAATGAGCAGCAGTAAGCCTCAGTCTGCACACTGCCACCATGCTCTCCTTGCTCTGCTATGGCTGCAAGGCAGACATCGGAAGTTTTCCATTTGTTATAGATATTAATAGCAGCTTGTCATTCTGACTGCACTTGACATGCTGTGGTTGCCCTTAACTAAGGCTTAACTGAAGCAAGTGACTTCATCAGTGTGAAGCTGGATGGCTGAAAGACACCATAGCTTAGGTTAACTGCTCTTAGGTTTTAGATGCTATGCTGACCTGCAGTTAATCAGAAACAGAAACAAAAGCTTTCAGATTCCCCCCTGTGGCCCTGGGAGGTGTGGGGAATGAGCCTGAGGTGTGTTCCTATCGAGATAAATCAAGGTTTATCGTGATGTCCAAAGACAGCCATCACATCAGAGCCACAAGGATGGTAATGCAATTAGATATAAAGTGAATATAGCTTTTAACTGTTATTTTTTTAAACTGAAGCACCAATAGAAATTAATATAATTTTGAGATAGAGTAGATGAAATCATTTCTGTATGGCAAGCTATTGGTCTGACAAGCTCTTGGGCAGATCCTTTGTCACCTGTGTGATCTTGGCTCAAAAGGTGGATTCCAATGGAGAACAAGGCTAGAGAGAAATTGGAAGAGAATCTCACTTGTAACTTGCACCACTACAGTAAGGAATGCACACTCTGCCACATTAACACACACACGTACACAATTGTGCTCATATGACAAATAGCTGTTTGATTTTTTTTTTTTTTTTGAAGCTGTGGAATGTATCTTTTCCATAGGAGAGTACCAGGTACTTAATTACAAAAATTATAAATTATTAGTGTAGTAAACAAATTAATCTATTTTTCCTGCAAATGTAATAGATTGGCTGAAAGTCGATTTGCAGTTTTCATCACTTGTTTAATTTATTGCTTGCTTGAATTTTGAAAAAAGTATGTAAAATCTTTAAGATCCAAGTTAATTTGGGGGTGGAAATTTTAAATTGATTTACAAAACATAAACTTATTTTTGTTTAAAATTAGCTTATTTGAGTATATTTCAATTTCTGCTGAAGATATTTTTATACAGTATATACAGTTCTAATATACAAATTTAGTAACAATTATTTTTGTTATGTGAAAATTAAAATATATCCTAGCATGGGTATACTTTAAGAGCACAGTCTTCAGAGTTATAGAAATGCTGCTGTGTGTTGTTCCTCCGTAATATTTCTAGGGAGCTTAATACTGAAGTTTCAAGGTTAGAAGCATTTAGTTATTGCAAACCACAGAGAGGGAACGGGAACCTGCCAGCACAAAAATGTTGTTCACATCCTTATTTGCAAACAAAATGTGTTTGTTTTTAAAACAAGGATCCATAATCTGATCTTGGCACAAAAACACTTTCTAGGGTCCTCGCAGTCCTGTGTGTGCATGCAAAGGATGGGAGTAATGAGCTCCATGGTCAGAGCAGAAGTGTGCCCATGGGCGGGGCCAGTGTCAAGGGCAGGCATGGCAGGACACCTGATGGGCCCACTGGTAAAAGCCTCTTGGAGTTGCTCCTACTCTTCACAGTTGCCATCTGGTCATTCGCCAACCTTTCCTTTGGATAGCAAGAGGGAACAGCAAAATCTACTGTCCACTTCAACACCATTCCTCTCCTTTCAGGAGAGCAAGTACTAGTGGAGATGTGAAAGACGATGAACAGCAGTAGACGGTGAGCAGATATGACTCGCAAGAGGGAGGGGAGCCATTGCTCAAGAGCCTTCACAAACCCAGAGCCAGGGTTACCCGCAGTGAATCTGTACTGCATGCATAATGCACAGGAGATGAGTGATACCTGCTCCCAGGTCCTCTCCCCGCCCCCCGCCCCCACTCAACAGATGCAGCCTAGCAGCTGGGAAGAGATGGCAAAACATAATGAAAAAATGCTATGAATATAACAGTAAGTGCATCCCAAAAGAGAGAGGAGGACCTTAAACATGAACAGAACTGTTCAATTTGCTGTACAAGTAGCCAAGGTTGTGCAAGCTTCCCTGGGAACATTTAGTGATAGGGTGGCATATAAATACATTTTAAAAAATACTTAGGAGTCTGGCAAGTGAAAATGGAATGCACATGTACTGATGACTAAAGATGGAACAAGCCAAAATATTTCAAACATAGCGCATGGCAAATATTACAAGATAAGATTTGCATGCAGAAAACCTCCGCTTCAGTTTCTGGCATCTCCAGGCAGGGCTGGAAATACTTCTGCCTGAAACTCTGACACACAGTGTTGACAGCACTAGTCTGCATGCACTAGTGGCTTGATTCAGCATGTGGCAGCTTCCTGTGTTGCTCTGAGATGGCACGTTAGTGTTGCAGGAATGCTTGGCTGCCATTCGGATAGGCAGAGCTGTCAAAAATGTTCTTTAAATGGAAGCATGTAAAATGTGAAGCTTGAAGAGTGTTGATAGCCAACCTTTTCAACAAGGTTGTCCCATCATCCACACAACAGCAGGAGGCAGAGCAGCTTGAAAGCACGTTCCTGTATGCACTCTTCCCGGTGAGCTTGCTTTGTAAGAAGAAAGGCGCGGGTTCAGCCACAGGCAGGAGCACTTAACAGTGCTGCGAAAGAACTCTGCTGGAGGCTGTGATGAGCTGCTGCCTGGGTAATACTTGCTTAGATGATCTGAGTAACTGTAAGGCAGCTTTAGGTTTTGATATGCAGCCACCTCTGCCATATTATCTAGAGCGTATTTGCCTGGGAATAAGCAGCTGAGCAGCACAGCTGAAGTGCAGGTCTGTCTATGGGGCATAAGTAGGCCTGTTGGTCTGGCTGATCCAATGGAGACATATAAAAGTCTCCTGCCACAATTTGTTTCGGCCGTGCCACAGTTTGCCTACCTTGCCCATGCTTTGGATGTGCGGGCAAATGGCTTGCTTTACTTGATTCTCAGTAGTATGCTTCCACTGGAAGAAATTGGAAATAACAACTGTTGAATTAATCTATCCAAGCACAATTATGCAGCTAGGTTGAAATGTAGTAATTATGTCATTTGGTGCAAGGTTTCTTGGGCTGCAAGTCTTCAGAGTTTGATTATTGGTTCTTTGAAGTGGTTTCACTGAAACCAGTGGCAGAAGTTTGTAGGTGGCACAATTTTGTGAGTTCCAGAGTTGCTGCCTGAAGAAATTCTACAGAATTCAGTCGGAATTACTCCAGTTCAGTGGAGCATATGTGGGCAATGGGGTGAAATGTAGTACAGGAGAGAGGCGATCGCTAAAAATAAGGTGGAACCACATTTCATGAGTAGAACTCTTTCATCAGTGGAAGTCAGATCCTGGATCCAACCTCATACGTTTTAGATTGCAGCCTTTTTCTTTTTCTTGCTTCAGATTCTTAAGGGAAAGCACTTTGGGCTGGTTTCATTAGTTATATCATCAGTTTCAGTGGATCCAGATACATATTTCCAAAGATAACAGGAGTGGATATAACCTCAATAAGTTCTGTTCTCTTTGCAGCTGGAAAAAGTCCTGCTGGCTGCATCACACTTCTATAACTTCATGTGATCAATGTACAAAGAGAAAGTTAAATTGTGTAGAAACCATGCATCAGTTTCCAGCTATTCCAGTTCCAAGAAAGTCAAAGGTGTGATACTAGATCAGACTTGCTTATTTAGACTGACACAATTTAGTCATAGCACCTTCTCTCACACAAAGGCATGCAAGCTTTAATTTTGTGGAGCATTTTCATTCAACAGCACTGGGTACTTCCTTTAATGGAAATGGGTACTTACAGAACTAATCTCATAATGTGATGCTCACCAAGTTGATTGGGTGTCTTTAAGAATAACTATGAGATGTTAATCCAAGATAGGCTTTTTGTTTGTTTGTTTTAAAATGATAATAAAGATAATCCAACAATCATGTCCTCTTCATTTTTAATTCTATCTAAATGCAGATTTAGTGCCTCATTTACACCTTCTTTGAAACAGACAATTCAACAAGTGTAGGATTAATTATAAGTAGGTGGGATGCAGAACAGAAATACCAATTTCTACTTACAAACTTAAACACTTAGGTGTTGCATTGTATGTGTGAAAGATCGCACTTAAATATATAATTATATTAATTATAGCATTAGCACTCAGTTGTATTTGGCTTCATATCACAAACAGGATGAATTTTCACACCACATATGTATTGTTTTATCTTGCAAATGCACACCTGCACATGCATGCGCACACACATGTGCACACACACACTCACATAAGCAAGCTGCAACTAGGGCTAGATATTTGTATTTTAAAACTTAAAGTATGCCGTCCAGTGCTGACAAGTATCTAGCACCTTTCTCAGATTTCTTGCACAACTAAGTTTAGCTTTTGTAGGCTCAACATGTAAATTTGA